CGATGACGTGAAGGAGGTTAATCAGCTAGTGAAGCACGTGGAGGACACTGCGGAGCTGGGAATCACGGTGTGGTTGGTTCCATTCTAGAAGCTGATGTGGGTCTCGGTCGCCGACGCCAGTTTGCGCAACAGTAGTGAAGGCGGGTCTCAAGGAACCTATGCGGTGATTGCGACGACGTGCGACGTTGCTGCTGGGGAGCGGAGTCCAGCTAGTCTACTGGCGTGGAGGGGCTCAGGGATGACCCTAGTAGTGGACTCGACGCTGCGCGCGGTGACGATAGCGCTCAACACCGGTGTTGCTGAGCTAGGCTGGGTGGTCACGCTGTGTCACGAGTTCGCCTTCTCGGGCTTCCGGCTGGGCGAGTGGGAGAGGTGTTGCGAGCACCGCGGGCTGCTAACACTGGCGGGCAAGAGCTTGGAGGAGAAGAATGTGGAAATGTTGCGCAAAGGGCTGTGCATCGTGGATGCCGAACCGCTGTGCGACTACCTCCAGCGGGAGACCGCGGGTGGGCGAGGTCGAAAATGCTCGACTCAGATTCAGATCATCAGGCAGGCAATGAATGCGATGGGCTGCGAAATCAGGTGGGTGGGTCATGCTGCTATGCTGGTGGGCGGACTTGCGAAGCGACGTGCCAAGATGGACCTGATGGTAGATCTCATGTGGCGCGGATCGATGTGCATTGGGAAGGAAGAGGAGACTATGGCGGCGCACAAGGTGCGCAGTGAAGCTGGTCATTGGCCGAAGAGGTGAAGTTTGAGCCTTGCTGTTTTAAGGCTGAAGGGAACAGAGATTTTCGGGAGCTGTAGATTTGCGAAGTTTACTGTGCTACCCACTTCCCCTCAGCCCTGCTCTCTGTTCCCTGCCCCGCGCCTCCTGAGCTATATCCTGCTCGGGTTGGCTAGTCCCGTTTCCCTCCCGACTCCCAGTTACCTATCGCGTGTAATCTCTCGTCCCATATCTCTCAATACCTGTGCGTTTCTTGTGCTGCTCTGCGCTGCGCGTTCGAGGCCAGGAGGCTCAGTCGGTGAGCACTGGCGTGTGTAAGGAAGAGTTGTTCATCGAGCTGGTCAGTCCACTGGGTTTTCACCATCGGATTCCAAGTGGGACCTAGTTAGAATCTTGTTGGAATTGAGCAGGTCCATTCCTATTGCTCTCATTGAAATGGAGCAGATCCCAGATCCTGCTGATTCTCATTTGCCCCCCCCGTGGAATTTATAAGATTTTAATTGGAAATTGGCACGTCCCAGATGCAGTTGAGTCGAATTGGTATACTTATTGGAATCTAATTCCGGAGCCAGAGCTTTCCTCTGTAGGGGTCCTAGCGGATTCGTGCGGTTAGGTGAGGCGTGCCACCGATTTTCACGGCCCACCCGAGTGCCTGGGTACCCAGGTGCCCGGGTGCCTTGTCGCCCAATGGCCTCGTAGTCAGTAGCCCTATAGCCTTCTAGCCCCATAGCCCCATAGCCTAATAGCCCTACAACCCAATAACTCTACAGCCCTATAGTCTTGTAGCCCTATAGCCTTGCAGCCCTATAGCCGTATACTCTTTATAGCCCTATAGCTCTGTAGCCCAATAGTCCTATAGCCCCATGGCCCTGTAGCCCCATAGCCCCATAGCCCCATAGCCCTATAGCCCCATAGCCCTATAGCCCTATCCCTATAGCCCTATAGCTCAATCGCCCCATAGCCCTGTAACCCAATAGCCCAATAGCCCTATAGCCCTATAGCCTTATAGCCCTATAGCTCTATAGCCCTAAAGCCCTATAGCCCTGTAGCTCTATCTGCCTATAGCCCTACAGCGCTTCTGCCCTATAGCCTTGTAGCCCTATGGTTCTATAGCCCTATAGCCCCATAGCCCTATAGACCTATAGCCCTACGGCCCTATAACCCCATAGCCCCATAACCCCAGAGTCCCATAGCCCCATAGCTACAGCCCTATAGCCCTATGGCCCTGTAGCCCTATAGCCCTATAGCCCCATAAACCAATAGCCCTATGGCCAGATAGCCCTATAGCCCCATAGCCCTAAAGCCTTAAACAGATTTTTTTGTATCATTCGAAGATCACTGGAATCGAGGAGATCACAGATCCAGCCGAATCCAAGTAGACTCTCATCGGAATTTAACTGTAACCTAAATGGAATGGAGCTCATCCCATATACAGCTGTTGCCAGCCCAATTCCTATTGACATGGCATGTAATTTTAGTTTGAATTTTGCAGATTCCAGATCCATATGATTTCAAGTTGATTCATATTGAACTCTTATTGAGAATATAATTGGAATTGAGCAACTCCCAGATCCAGCTGTCTTCAATTAGCTTCCCATTGGGATTTAATTCGAATCTAGTTCGAGTGGGGCGTATCCTAGATCCAGCTGGTTCAATTATCTTCGTGGTATCTAATGCGTGGTATCGAAGTATTTAATTCGACTCTCATTCGACCTGTGCAGATCCCAGACCCAGCTGATTCCAATTTGATTCCGGCACGAGACAACAGCGGAGAAATGACGCACTGGAAAGACGGATGAGCAGGCACGGATGAAATTAAGGTCGAAGATCAGTAAGAATACGAATGAAGAGATCAACAACCGATGTAAAATGACTGGGTGTTGGGGGAGGCTGTGCACACACACACATATATATATATATATATATATATATATATATACTAGTGTGGGCCCGTGGATAGAATCCACGGGGCTGCGTGAGTCGAGATTTGCCGACGCGCGCTTCTGTTTCCGGCGCGCAAATGCCAGCAAACTGCGGTGTGCGATCGACAACCAACGTGGAATCGATGTTTTTTGCCTCTTCAAGCTCTCTTGGGGGTCCTCCTGGGGCTCTTGTCGGGCGCGTGAAGCCCTCTGGGGCCGTCTTGACAGCATCAGGGCCGTCTTGGGGCCCTCGCCCTCTTGGCCTGTCTTGGTGGCCTCTTGGGAGCTTGTTGGGCTGTCTTGGGGGCCGCATGGGGGTCCATTGGGCCGACTTGGGGGCCTCTTGGGCCCCCCTTGGGCCCCTCTGGGGCTCTTTTGGGGCTTTCTTGGGCTCCTCTTTGGCCGTCTCGGGGTGATCCTGGAGGCCTCTTGGGCCGTCTTGGGGGTCCAGACGGTCGAGAGCGCGAAAATCTCAGAATCCAAATCCACGGACAATCTACGATTTCGGCTTCTCGGGCCCCCCGAAAGTGTCCCCTCGGAGCCGTTGTGGGGCGTCTTGGTGGCCTATGGGGCCGTCTTGGGAGCATCGTAGGCCGTCTGAGGGCGGTCTTGGGCCATCTCGGGGTTGTCTTTGGTCGCCTCGGGGCCTTTTTGGGCCGTCGCGGGGCTCTTCTGGAGAGCTCCAGTGCCGTTTCGGGGCCCTCCAGGCGCCTTCGGGCTCTCCGGGGGGCTCGGGGAGCCGGGGGCCCCCGCAAACCCACAAAGCATCTTTCGGATTTATTCGAATGGATCTCTTTGTCTCTCTCGCTCTCTGTGCGGGGTTATGTGGATCGTTCACCCGCCTCTCTCCTCTGTACAAATATAAATATATGCATGTTTACATCGTGTTTGAATGCGGGTATCAGGAGCACCTGTCACTGTTTTCTCAAGCGTGTCTTCGAGAAGAAGGCGGGAGACGCTTGAAGACGGTTGAATCGTTTTGACGTTCCCAATCTTCACCTCCGTGAGTTTGGAGTATGGATGATATCAGGGAGTTTGCCCACCAGGATTTTCTCAAACCTGATTTCAATGAAAAGGCGGGATGCTCGTCAATGTGCTTCGAGTCGTTTTGACATTTGACATTTCTCATCCCCACCCGTTTTTGAACATGTAACAGTTCAGGGGAATTATTTTCATGATTGTTCAAGCACGCCTTCGATGAGAAGGGAGCCTTTTTCAACCGCGTGACGTTCCCCAACCCCAGTATAGCAGGAAGCCTATGTCCATGGTTTTTCAAGTATTGCTTCGAGGAAACGGCGGAGGCGTTCCGAGCCGGTTTTTCATGTTTCGAAGCTGCCCATCACCACCCGTTTGAAGACTGAATATGGTAGATCTTTGGGAATTGAAGTGCGCAGGGTTCTTCCATCATGCGAGGCGCAGCTTGCTTGAGACAATGCTGTGCGTACTTCATTCCTAGGTCCGAATGGGTGCTCGCGCCGATCTTTTGTCTACATCGGATGCTTCCCTGTTGCTTCACAGCGAGTGCCCTTTAGATATCGCCATGCCATGGCATTCTCCCTCGGCGCAAGCCGCGCTCCTGCTTCGCAATTCCTGCTTGTCCGCCTCTTCATCCTACCAGCCCTTGGCGTCCTTCTTCTTTTCTTTCTTCTCCCTCTCCCAGTTCCCTCTTGGAGAACTAGTGTTGTATAGCAAGTCGAATGTCTGGTATGTGATGGGCGGTGAGAGGATCCTCCTCTCATCCCTACTCCTCATCATTCTCTTGCCTCCTGCGTCCTCCCACCTCCTTCCTCCTCTTCCCTCCTTCCTCCGTCCGCCTCCTCGTCCCTCCCTTCTTCCTCCTTGGGATCATCACTCCCCCTCCTCCTCCCGTTTTTGCTCCCCTTGTCCTCCTGGCTTCCGCCCCGTTAACGACGACTGCCACGACGACGACAACAACGATGTGTTCATGAGGGCGACGACAGTGACGCCGACGTCGACTGCGGCACCGATGGCGATTTCGATGCCCCAGGACGACGGCGACAGCGGCGGCGACAACACCGCCGTCGCCGGCGTCGTTGTCGGCGTCTTCTTCGGTGTCGTCGTCGTCGGCGTCGCGTGCGCCAGCATGGGCGGCGTCGGCGTCGCAGGCGTCGCGGTCGCCGTCGGCGCCGTCGTCCGTCGCCAGCGTCGCGGTTGCTGTCGTCGTCGTCGGCGGCGTCGCCAACGCCGCCGTCGCCATAGTCGCCGTCGTCGTCGTCGCCGTCGCCGTCGTCGTCGTTGTCATCATGGCCGTCGTCGTCGCCGTCGGCGTTGGCGTCGGCGTCTGCGTCGGCGTCGGCGTCGGCGTCTGCGTCGGCGTCGCCATCGTCGAGGACGACTGGGCCGCGCCCGCCGCGCGGCCAGCATCGCCTGCGGCGCCATCGGCGGAGCCGCCGGTGCGGGAGGCCAGACAGCAGCGGGACGCCTGGGGCGAGGACCGTTGTCGTTGGTCGATTCGTCGTCTCCGTCGCCGCCGCCGTCGCTGCCGCCGCCGCCGCCGTCGTCGTCGTCGTCGTCGTCGTCGTCGTCGTCGTCGTCGTCGTCGTCGTCTTCGTCGTTGTCGTCGTCGTCGTCGTTCGTTCGTCGTCGTTGATTCGTCGTCGTCGTCGATTCGTCGTGTTCAAGTTGTCGTTCGTGGATTCTCCCTCCTCCCTGTTCTCTCGCCTACCCCTAATTACTCGGCGTCGCCGTCGTCGTCGTCGTCGTCGTCGTCGTCGTCGTCGTCGTCGTCGTCACCGTCGTCACCATGGCAGTCGTCGTCGCCGTCGACGTCGGCGTCTGCGTCGGCGTTGGCGTCGCCCTCGCCTGCGGCGGAGCCGCCGGTGCGGGAGGCCAGGCAGCAGCGGGACGCCTGGGGCGAGGAACGGTCCGTGGTCGATTCGACGCCGTCGTCATCGATGTCGATTCGTCGTCAATCTCCCTTATCCCTTTTCCTCCTTCGTCCACCCCTTATCTCTTATCAGTGTATGTGTGTGGGGGCGTGTTTATATAGGTATATGTACATGTATATGTTTCTGTATATGTATCGATGTGAGTGTATATGTATGAGTTTAGGTATATGTATGTGTACGTGTATGTGTACGTGGTATATGTATATGTATATGTACATGTGTATGTCTATATGTATAGGAATGTGTATTGATATATGCATTTTGATTTGTACATGTGTATGTATACGTCTATGTTTTGATATTTGTATATGTATACGTATATGCGTACGTAATGTGTATGTAGATGTCTATATATATATACATATTTACATGTACATGTACATGTGCAGGTATAGGTATAGGTATACGTGCACGTACATGTAGATGTATGTGTGTATATGTTTGTGTATATGCAGATGTATATATATACATATATATATATATATCGCTTGTATATGCATATGTATGTGTATATGTGTGTATATACTTATATACACGTATGTATATGTGTGTACGCATCCACGTATATATAGATATATGTTTTTGTATATCGATATGCATGTATGCATATATGTATGCATATATGTATGTATGTATGTATGTATGTATGTATGTATGTATGTATGTATGTATGTATGTATGTATGTATGTATGTATGTATGTGTATGTGTGTGTAGTGTCGATGAGCTTCCTATACAATCATTCCTACTTTGCCACCTAGCTGGCCGACAGCACGTCCTTCTGTATTGTTCTATCTTATCTGCTAGGATTAAGCACCGACTTCACGTTGTCCCTCTCAGCATGAGCGTTTCGGCGTTGACGTTGCAAACTGCGCGGCAGGAGTGGGGCGCGCATCCCGCACGAGAGGGCGGAATGTCGCTCTCGCCTCGGCACCGCGCCCATTTCTCCTGAGATCTGATTTCCCGCTTACGCGCGAGCGGACGCGGCTTTCGCCTCGTCGTCGCGCGCAGATTTCGCCTGAAAGTGGCTCTCCCGCTTCGGCGCGGCGCCTTACTTGTCATTCGCCAAGTTCGGCGCGAGCGGGAAACCTGTTGCCATCTTCGAAATTCCAAGTTCCGTGGACATTTCGCTTGGAAGTGGCGTTCACGCGTGGGCGCGGCTCATGTTTCGGTCGCCTACTCGCATGGAAGCAGCAGCGGCAGCCTGGCCGCGACAGAGCGGGCGAAATGTTCTACTCGCCAAGGTGCCCGTCAATTTGCGCGTGAACGTGACAGTGCTGTTTCGGCGCGCGTCGTCGTCGTCGTCGTCGTTTTGTCGTCGTCGTCGTGGTCGTCGGCTTCCCGTCGCCGTTGTCGATTCGTTGAGTTTTTTGCTCTTTCCAGAACCTCCGACCCTCTGGTGTGCACCTTCTCCATGCTCCGCCCTCCACTCTCATAATCCCTCTCCTCCAATCTCCTCCCTCTTCCCTCCCTCTCTTATCTCTCCTCCCGACGGCTTCCGTGACCGCCGCGACGACCACGACGCCACTACGATTCCTCATCCCTCCCCCCGACGACTTCTGCGGCCGCCGCGACGGCCACGACGCCACCACGATCATGACAACGGCGCTGGCGGCGGCGGCGATGGCCAAGCCCACGACCACGACGGCGACCGCGTGCACGTCGACGACGGCGACCGCGTCCACGGCGACGACGGACGCGCCCACGGGGACGCCGGCGGCGGCGGCGCTGCGCCGACCACGACGACGGCCGCGCCCGCGGCCGCGGCCGCGGCGCCTTTGGCGCCCAGGACGGCGCGGGAGGCGGCGCGCCGCCGGAGCGCCCCGGCGGCGGGGCGCCGGCGGAGTGGGCGGTGGGTCTGCCGCCGCAGGCTGGGGCGCCCCGAGCCACTCGCGAGGATCCTCAGGGGCGTGTGTTGGCCCAATGTTCAGAGGAGGGAGGAGGTACCCACACTGCTGCCTTTGTCTTCGTTTTCCTGCAAAGGGGTTCTCAAGTGTGCGCAGCAGTTCGTGCAATCTTTTGTGCTGGATCGTCCTCGTGCGTTGCATTTGGCATCGTCGGTTCGTGAGAGAGGCCACGCGCAATGAGACACATGATGAAGTAGTTCATTTTTGTTTGGCGACCCCATGACGAAAGACCCCATTTGCCCAGAATCAGCTCAAGACGTATGTTGGCCCAATGGGTGTTTATCGGCGGCGAGCAAGGGGGGAAGTGAGAAGGGGGAGGCCTTCTCAGAAGACGGCGTGGCTTCTCAGAAGCCCTCTGGCATTCTGAGAAGATTTGATTTGTATGTCTTCGGGCAAGGCTTGGGAAATTTCTCAGGAGGTCGGGGGACTTCCGAGCCTTCTGAAAAAGCCGCTCCTTCTGACGTTCCCCCTGGTCTCGCCGCCCACAATGTGTGCTACCATGTCTCCGTCGACCACCGTGACAGCACCTTCGTCGTATTGAGGGGCTTCGCTGGACCAGCACACGTTGGCGTTAGCACACGTTCTGAGGATCATCAACACTCGGCGGCCACATCCAGACCCGACCCTTGCCGATCAAGGAGCCTGGCAACACGATGTCGAAGAAGGAAAGCATGCACAATCATTAATTTTCGCAGCTCCGCGCAGATTTCTTGGATCGGCGCTGAGACCCCCTTCGGCTCCGCCCCTGGCGGGTGCGCGCCAGGGAGGGGGGTCCAGCGAAGATCAAGAGAAGTCGCGTCGAGGCTTACCCTCCCCCTTCACGTCCGGCCCCTTCCCCCCCTTCACCTCTCCCCCCCTTCCCCTCTCCCCCCCGAGGACGACGAAGACGACGACGGCGAAGCCGACGTCGTAAAAACGACGGCGGCAGCCAGCGGCGGCGTTGGCGGCGACGACGGCGGCGGCGACGGCTCCTCCCGCCTTGGCGGCCGAGGCCAATCGGCAAAGGGAACGCCGCGGCGCGGGCTCTGGCGACCGCCGCAGCGACCGCCGCAGCGACCGCCGCGGCGACAGCCGCGTCGATCGCCGCGACGACCGCGGCGACCGCGGCGGCGGCCGCGGCGACGACCGCGGGCCCCGACGCGGCTGGGACAGGCCTCAGAGGCCGGCGCTGTGGTCGGCGCCGTCGTCGTCGGCTTGGTTGTCATCTTCGTCGTCGCCAGTGTCGCCGTCGTCGCCGTCTTCGTCGTCGGCGTCGTCGTCCTCGTGATCGTCGCAGGAGGATGATGAGGAACTCAAGGGAAAGGAGATGGAAGGAGGAGGAGAGGGATGAGGAGGGGGGGAGGGAAATGAGGAAGAGGACGAGGAGGATAATATTCTAGGGGAAGAATGCGGAGTTTGGTGAGGATGAGGAAGACAAGGAACAGAAGATGGAGGATGAATAATGGTAAACAAGGATCACTACCACTGCATACTGCGAGCTACCCACGGACCTTCATGAGCAGCGAGAGGAACATTGAGGGCAGCACGACCAAGTACGCCGGACGAATCCGACGATGTTTGACGGGGCTTGCATTTACCGCCACGATAATCCCCGTTCTTGCCACTGTTCACCCTTTCCACTCCAATGGCACGAAGTAGTTTACAGTCGTGCAGAAGGTACATGAGACATACTGAAGCACATTGCCAAGCCTGACAACCTCCGCACCTTTGATCACCGACCTAATGTCGGGCACCTCCATCAACTACGTAGACAAGGCCCAATGACCAGCACGAGTAAAGGAAGCTAACCCTGCGTATTCTGGCCAATTTTGAAGCCTGGCGCCGCAATGCCAAGCCAGAGCATACATAGTCGGAGGTGGATAGACCTCCTACCCTGACACGTCGATTAGTGAATTGTCCGTTTTCGGTTCTCGAGAGGGTGCCGCGGCCGTCATTTTCCAGGTTTGCGCCCGCCAGGTTTGGGCCCGAGGTCGTTTTCACTAAACCACGTTTTACTAAAGGGAGGTCTGTCCACCCCCGACATAGAAACTTGCAGGAATCTGGTGAACGACGGAGACATGCACCACTCTGAAGTGCACCGAGGGTTATGATGTTCCTGCCAATTTTAGCTTTGATCAGCAGGAAGAATTTCGAGCACCAGGAAAGTACCGAATTTTGATGGTTTTCAGGTGTCGATACTCGTTCGACATTTCGATAGCGAATCGGGTAGACACTGTTTCGATACTTAGCTGGGTGCTCGGAACTATTTCTGGGATGTGTTCCTTAAGGGCGATGGGAACAACGTAAACCGTGGGACGGGGGGAGGGTCTTGCATGGAAAACTCCACCAGGACCTCCGCCCCCGCCGACCCTGGGATGGACCGCGCCGACGATGCCCTGGAAGAATCTGCCTACACGTGAACGCCTGCCCAAGAGCGGCCCAGCGCGAAGTCACGACAAACACTGCGTTGGAATACGCCTGCTTGTTTGTGCTTTGCTCAAGGTCCTGTCTAACGTGCGACGTTCGGGGCGCCACAGCATATGACATAATTACGTGTCTGCGCATTGCCCACCCATTCGACGTAAATCAGCTCCAACACTAAACGAGGAGTATGATCAGAGACCGTGCCCCTCAAAGCCGAAGTCCTTATTTTTGCCACCGCTAGAGACTATGGGCTAATCCGCGGCTGGAGTGGCACCCCTGCAGCACCACGTGGAGGCGGAAGGAGCATTCGGGTCTTGTCAGACACTCTTCTCCTAGCAGGCCAGCGCGTCCATCCCAAGTAGGTTGGAGGGAGCCGACAGGGGGTGCCAAGGGGACCTGAGCCAATTTGCTTGAGAGAGGAAGAATCTGGAGGAGGAGGAGGAGAACGCGGAGGAGGCGGTCAGGCTCCACCCAGCGCTTTGACGAGTCACATTTGTGATTTCACCCTCAAGGAGGCCCAGCAGAACTTTTCCGAATGCGTTACGCGCGTGCAGAACAAGGCTGTGGCACTAGCTAGGCTGGTTACTCAAGAGCTCGGTGTTCCACTCGCTGATGACAAGCTGGCGATCACTGGGTCGTCTCCGGAGTTCGTGAGAGCAGCTCAACAGACATTGGGCGATCTAGCTGGAAAGACGTCGAACTTCCCAAGTTATCTCGGGTGCGAATGTAGTTTAGGCAAACACAAACAGAAGCGAGGGGCCCGCGTGGTCTTGAAATGGTTTTCAACGATTCCCAACCGTGTCAAGACATCGACAACCTCAAGGGCCCAATCTTTGCCAAAACCGAGGTGTTTCTCTGTGCGTGCTACCGTCGTCCACCTACGGGTTCGAAGTGTCAGGACTCATCCCGCAAGAGATTCGGCTCCTGTGCAGGACTGCGGCTAGAGTGGTGGGACTTCCGGCTTCGAGCACGAGGGTTTTGGCAATGACTCTAACCCACACGTGACCCAGTGAAATTGGCGGACAGCACTGTCAAGAGGTACTGAGCAGAAATGCGACAGGCTTCAGATGAGGCCTTAAAGCAAGTGGAGGGGGTGGGAGTGGGGGAGCTTGGCAAGGCGTTCTTCACCACCCTCGCCACCCTTGAAAGCATCCCTGAGAGAGCGGCCTGGCTGCGCAATTCCACGGGGCCGCTCTCCGACATGTACTTGTGGGTCCGCGAAGCCAGATGGGAGCACGAGCATCTTGGGATTCTCATGGGCAGAGATGGGACTCGGCATGCGCTCACTGGTTTTTGACCCTGCGTCTACCACGGGTGCTTTCATTGCCGACCCGAGGGAGGCCTCTCTTCAGCGCAGCCTCAGCGTCAAGTTGAGCGACAGCCGAAACGAGAGGACTATCGAGATGGAGGAGAGGGAGGCGAGGATGAGAGTGATAAGAGGGAGGCGAGGGAGGAGAGGGAGGAGAGGGATGAGACGGATGAGTGGGAGGAGAGGGGGGAGAGGGAGGGTGGTGAGGAGAGTGATGCGAGGGAGGAGGGGGAGGAGATGGAGGAGCGGGAGGAGCGGGAGGAGATGGAGGAGGGAGCATGGATGAGAGAGGATGGGGGAGGGAAGAGGGAAGAAGGAGGCGGGAGGAGGGAGGAGGGAAGCGGGAGGAGGATGGGGGAGGGAGGGACGGAGGGAGGGAGGGAGGGATGGAGGGCGGGAGGGAGGACGTGTGCGGAATCTCTGGAGGAGCGCCTTGCGTGGTTCTGGGGCGGGCAGTGGGCCGCCCTCTGGGGGGACGCAGCCGGCCGGTCTACCCCGCCGCCGCGGGCGGCCGGCCAAGACTCCGACGAACGGAGGGCGCTCCGGGTCCACACCTTGGCAGCCGCGGGAGAGGAACGCCGGGCGCTCGGCGCAGTGCGGGGCGTGCCGCTTGCCCCGCGCACGGCGGACACTCTGGCCAAGCTGCGGGACTCCTTCCCGACGGGCGCCTCCAACGCAGCGGCCCCGCAGGCCAGGCCCCGGGCGGGAGTGGCCCCTGACGGGGACCTGTTCCAGCAGGTCTGCGAGGACATCGCCCAGCTCCTGCGGCGACCCCCGCGCTTGACGGCCCCGGGCCTCCTCGGCGCGCGCCTGGAGCACCTGGCCTCGTGCACGGACGACCCGGCGGTCCTCGAGTCGATGGCGTGGGCGATCGGGAAACTCACCTTCGGTGGCGTGCCGGAAGCGGTGCTGCAGGCCCTCCGGATCGGCGAAGTGGTGGCCGTGGACAAGGGCGCTGGCGAGGTCCGGCCACTCCTGGTTGGCGCCACCCTCCGACGGCTGGGAAAAGGGTGCAAAAGGCCAGGCTCCACGCGGCGGCGGGGCCCCATCAGTACGGCGTGGGGCGCGCCAACGGGGCGGACCTGGTCTTGAAGCAACTACAGGCGCAGGCGGCGTGACGACGGAACGACGCGTTCATCAAGGTGGACGTGAAGGCCGCCTTCCAGAGACTGGAGCGGGGGCCGGCCATAGAGGCCATGGCGGAGCATGTGCCGGAGGTCGCCCGCGTGCTGGACACGTGGTACAGGGGCCCTGCGACCCACCTCTGGCGCGACGCGGCCGGCAACTTCGAGCCGGTGGAAAGCGCCCGGGGCTTCGACCAAGGCGACCCGCTGGCCCCGGCCGCCTACGCCGTCGGCCAACGCAAGGCCCTGCAACCCTTCCTGGAGCACCTCAGCGCGTTCGACCCAGAGACGAGGATGTACTCCTACCTGGACGATACTTACCTCGTGGTCCCTGTGGCGCTGGCCGCACAGGCGCTCCTCCTCCTGGAACAAGCGCTGGCTCCCTACGGCCTGGAGCTCAACCCAACCAAGACCTTGGTGTGGGTCCCGGCCGGCGCGGGGGGGCCCCCAGTCGGGCTGCGCCCTCACTACGTGGCAGCGCTGCCAGTCCTGGGCTCGCGCTTGAGGGCGCGCGGGGACCAGGGGGACGCCCTCTTCCTCCTCGGCCAGCAGGAGGGCGGCCTCGGCGCAGTCACGGACCGGCTCGGCGCCCTCTGGCAGGCTCTCCGGCCGCTCACGAGGCACGGCCTGCGGAGGCAGGCAGCTGGTAGCTTGCTCGGCACCTACGCCGGGGCCGCTAGCCAGCACGCCTGACGGGCAACCTTTGCGACCGACCCAGAGACGCAACGCTGCGACGACGCGCTGGCCAGCTGCTGGGAAGACTTGGCAGGCAGGGACCTCGACCCGCTGAACCGGGAGGCATCGGCATCTCGCGTAAGGAGGGCGGGGCCGGAGTGCAGTGGGCGTCCGACCGCCGGGCAGCCGCCTTCTGGGCCGGCTGGGCTTTCGCCCTGGAACGGGTCGCCAGCGACGCAGGGGCGACCGCGAGCGAGCTGCTCGAGGCAGTGCCTGACCTGGAGCAGACGCTCGCCAGGGTGCGGGCTGAGCTGCGGCGGCGCGGCAGCCCCCGGGGCTTCTCTCCTTGAGGCTCTCCAGAGTCAGGCGACGCAGAGCAAACTCGTGAAACTTGTTCCAAAGAACACCCGCGCGGCCTTGGGGCAGCGCTTGCCGGTTCACGAGAGAGCTCTGCTGCTGGGCGCTGGAGGCCCAGGCGCGGCTGCCTTCCTGCTGTGCCCGATCGACCCGGCGTGCACCATGGAGGACGAGCTCTGGTCGTCGGCGCTCCGAGCGCGGGCGCTGGTGCGAAGGCCCGAGTGCTCGCGGGCAGAACTGGCCGTGGCCGCCGACGCGTGCCAGAACAGGAGCCGCGGGGCCGGCGCGGCGGC